ATGAAATGATTTTTCTATTTTTATCAGGGTCGAATGAAAATTCTGGGTCAAACAAAATATTGAAAATACATTGTAATCTATTGAGGATATACATGAATATATGGACTATAGGTTCCTGTATTGTAGTGAGATCACAGTTTTCTCGAGTCAAGTTAGTTCGGTATCAACAGATCAGTCACTGTCGTTAGCCAAATATGATGGATCGTAATTCCTTTATTAGCAAAGTACAGTAAAATGTTTTAGGCAATCGTATAAACCTTACTCTGGATTATTTCTCATCCTCGAATTACAAAGCTCTAAAGAACAAAAACACATACAGAGACAAACCCTCAATTAAGAAGGAATAAAAATGCGAATTTCGGTCTCTTCCATGTCGCAGCTTTCAAGACTCATCCCCCGCCACATTTTCTCCGGCAGTCGTCGGTGGTTGTGGCTGCGGTGGCCATCTTCGTTTCTCCTCTTCTTCTTCTTTTCTTCTTCGTTCTTCCTCTGCTCTTTTAGATGCTTCTTCTTCTCTTTTTCTCTCTTCTTCTCTCTTCATAGCTTCCTCTTCACGTCTCCTCCTTTCTTGTTCCTCACGTCTCTCTCTCTCTGCTTGTTCTCTCTCTTTCTTTTGCCTCTCTTCCTCTCGTCTTTTTGCCATTTCCCTTTCTTCTTCTCTCTTCCTCGCTTCTTCTTCACGTTTCTTCATTTCTTGTTCCTCGCGTCTCTTTCTCTCTGCCTCTTCTCTCTCTTTCCTTTGCCTCTCTTCCTCTCGTCTCTTTGCCATTTCCTCTTCCTTTTCCCTTGCTTCTTCTCTTTTCCTTGCCTCCTCCTTTTCTTTCTCACGTCTTATCCTCTCTTCCTCTTGTCTCTTGGCTTCTGCTTCTTCTCTTTCCCTTTCTTCTTCTCTCTTTCTTGCCTCTTCTTCTTGTTTCTCGCGTCTCTTCCTTTCTTCTTCTCGTTTCTTAGCTGCCTCCTCCTCTCTCTTTCTTTCTTCTTCTCTTCTTCTTGCTTCCTCTTCTTCTTTCTTTTTCCGCTCAGTTTCTTCCTCTTCACGTCTCCTCTTCTCTTCCTCTCGTCTCTTCGCTTCTTCCTCCTCTCTCTTTCTTTCTGCTTCTCTCTTCCTTGCTTCCTCTTCTGCTTTCCTTTCCCGCTCTATTTCCTCCTCCTCACGCCTCCTCTTCTCTTCCTCTCGTCTCTTGGCTTCCTCTTCCTCTCTCTTTCTCTCTTCTTCTCTCTTCCTTGCCTCCTCTTCTTCTTTCCTTTTCCGCGCGATTTCTTCCTCCTCATGTCTCTTCTTCTCTTCAATCTCCCTCATAAGCTTAGTAAGCTCTACCTCGGCACAAGACACACACTCCAAAATCACGCCTTCTTTCTGAGCTCCTAGCAATCTCTCGATTGTCTCATTTCTCAAGTTGAAAGACGTAGCAAGTACCTCCCGGTCAAATACCTTCAAAACCGAGCTCTGCCCTACTAGAAACTGGGGGTAATTTTCCTTCGCCGTGGTGCTAAACCCCATAAACACGAATGAGCTGTTTTCGAAAGACATTTGAGCCATAGGATAAAACCGTGGCACAACAAAAACATCCCCTTCTTCAACCATGAATCTCTCGCTCTTACTCTTGTTTTTGGGAGAAGAAGACGAAGGGTTGTTAACCACTCGAATCATTCCTTCCCCTCTGAACACAATCGATATCTCAGAAGCACTAGGATTCCAGTGTGGTCCCATCATTGATCCCTAAAAGTCAAATACACCATTTTTAAGTCACATCGTAACAAGACAAGAAATCAAGAACCAAGGCAATGCGGCGGTATTAGTCTGAAGTGGCTTAACCTTAGTTAAATTAACCATGAAAACTCCTACACTTGAGCCCTTTAGAGCATCCATATCCTTCTCATCAACCACTATGCTTTGGCCATTGACGTTCTCAAAGTCTGGATCAGCGTCAAAAACATTGAACGCACTTGATTCCTTCTTGCTATTAACGACCGGTTTCATCGCCAAATGATCAGTCACATCTTCAGCTCTGACAATGAGTTTGACAAGCCGTGATTGCCACGTATCCTCTTCCAACCCATGTGTTCTGTTTCTCGGCAGAGCACTTGTGATCAACGGAGGCTTCGTCGCATCTCTTAACTTCCCCAAAACCTCCTCAGGAACCTTCCATATAGTAAAAAAAAAAACCACATTGTTGTGTAATGAATGAAATAGAATCTCAAATATAGACTCATGTCTCGCGAGTAAGAAACACAATCACATACCGCAAAAGTTGTCCGGAGAGTTCTCTCGTTGAAGCCCAATAAAAGGTCTCTGATATCCGAGTAGGCACCTAGACATGGTTCGTATAAACACTCCCCCGCGTCAAAGATTGCGTAAACCCTAAGTTTCTCTGGAAATGCGTACTCCAACTTGCTATGTAAATAGAAGACTCTACCGGAACGTAGCCTAAATACATCTCCTCGTCTTAATTCTAACGTCCTCTCTTTTTCCTCGTCAATCCAATTCAAAACCCCACTTCCTAAACAAATCCCAAATCACAATCACATCATAAATGAATCAAATATTAAAAAATAAAAAAGATTTTAGAATTGCGGTTATGTACCAGTGTGAACAAAGAGAACCATGTCGGAATGTAGAAGAAGAGGAAGCAAGAATGAGTTTGGCTCCATTGTTATGAACTGAATATGGTATCCATCGCCGATCTGGACGGCTGATATGTCTCCGAACTCCGTCGCAACGATTTGCCTCCGTTGTTCCTTCTTGACCACAAGTGGTGACGAAAACGACGACTCAAAGCTAGGGACGTCGTTTCGATCAGAAAATGACTTGGTGCAGAGGAATAAGATATTAACGAGACAGATTGACAGAATCGTAAATTTTAACATCGTTTGATAGATTCAAAGAGGCTTTTGAGTTGCATGTGTATCTTCCTTCACCGGAAACGTAATTGTTATGGTATTATTACACATAAAGGAATCCATGGAGAGGTGGGGCCAGGTTTGGACACGCGTCGTGATAAGTGAACACGTGTATAGTTACCTTGACACGTGTATACATTAGGGTGACAATCGGCCAATCGAGTTAGTGTGGTTATTTAAAAAGATTAATTGCAGTTTCTTGATGAATGCTCAAAATATCAAAACGGTAGGGTTAGTGTTTTTTTTTTTTTGGTAGGGCGGTAGGGTTAGTGTTTATGCATAAATGATAAATGTTCAAAAATTAAATTTTTTTTTTGCGTTTGTATTTTGTTCCTTACCTTACATATTATATGATCGTGTTTACCTTAAAAGGACAACGTAAGTACTTACCTTTCTCAAAAAAAAAACAAAAACATTTTAGTACTTTTGACAAATGTTATTTAGAAATTAAAAACGTTATTGTATGTTGTTTACGAAATCCCATAAACAAAATATTAATAATTTTATTTTCAAGATAAAAAGAAAATATTCTACCTAATAGATACAAACACATAAAATTTTTTGAAATAATGATACTTCTCTTAATTAGTTCTAATAGTATATTTTTAGCAGAAAAGTGATTACAACCGTACATTTTGTATGAGATTGAAACTGAGGTGAACATATGAGAAAAAGCCGTTATTTTCAGGAATACTTAGAGATAATCATACAACCAAAACTTGCACATTGGAGATATATATTCCTAGAAGCAAACCTGATAAAGAAAAATGTGCAAATGTACTACTTCTTTGGTCAGTAGTGAGATCAAATATTTAGCATTGAGTGGTCTTTCTCGATGAATTCCAGCGCCTGATCCTGTGAAATAACATTCACAATACTCACTCTGTTCTCATGAAATACTCCATATATTTTATCCGCAACTCTCACAAGCTCTGGACGGAAAGTTGTGGTAATGAGCTGCGTATTATCATCAGCTAAACGACGAATCATGTCTAATAATTTTTTTGGTTAAGGCATTGTAACTTTTCCATAAAAAATATATGTAAATAATACCACGTACT